ATCGGGATCTTAATCTTGTTCCTCTTGATCTAAAATGGTTAATAAAAGAGCTACACTAACCTAGTAAGAATGTCACATTACTCTCTGACACATAAATGAAGGTTGGTAGACATCATAAAAACAACTAATAGAGCTCTTAATTTAAGTAAATTCGTTTACCATGAATAAAATCATTTACTATATACTCACCGTAACGAGATTTTTAAAATCAACCTATAGAGTCAATAACGTAAACAATATCATAATTCATATTCAATCAGTCGGAACAACAACTTTCTACTTTATCAGTCTACTGGTATCCAGGGAATCCATTCGGATGTCCTTACTATGCGTGAACCTTTATTCAATATTTTCAACTAACGAGTCGTCCTCATACCCCGTTCGATATGAGTGCTAAAAGATGTCATCCCTCAATACCACGTCCGGTATGAGGGTAAAATGGGTCGTCTCCATATTCCGTCCGGTATGAACGCCAAAATACAAATCCTCAATACCCTGTCTGGTATGAGATAACGTTCATGATAGAGTTTTCTATGTACCCGGTCCGTCCACCATCTCTCAGGATATTCAATAAAGCTGTCATTCATTCATTCACTTAATCAAACAATTTTCCGTTTACCTTTAATTTTCAGTTTTTCAATTAACTGTAATTCACGTAAAACAAATAATACATGCATCAAGAAAACACAATCGAATTATCATACCAATTCCAGTGTATTATCATGCATTCGAGACTATAAAATCATCAATCAATTAAACATTGCAAACAGTAATAAATAACTAGTTCTGGCTCAATTAGTAACATTTAATTATCGATATTTTTAAATTATGTAAAATACCATATTATTTATAATTAGACTTCAATTTCATAACAGAGAATAAGATGAAGAATTCTTACTCAAACTTTCAGCTGCATCTACTGACGGTCCCCGAGTTCCCTGAATTTTCCTTCAGGGATTAAAACACATTTCAAGTACATACAAATACCCCAAAAAAATCCAAAATTAGTGTTAGAAACCCCTTTTGGCTAATTCTGGAATTCCAGCACAGCGGCTCTGTCGTGCTCCAGCAACGACACAGCCGCTTACTATGGCGATTTGCATCGGGTTGGCCAAAAAAGTTTAAAAATTGAAACTTACCGGCGACGAAGTTTTCCAGTGCAGCGGCTTCGCCGGTTAACCTTCGCGCTTGGGTGTTTAATTTCGGTCAACCTGTAGAAAAAGGAATGATGATCACAATGGTAAAAAAATTACACGAAACAGAAATCGGAAGGGCCTCATCGGAGGTGGTTTTTTCTTTTTTTCGCGGTGGCACTACCAGGCTTTTCCCGTAGTTTTCGGCTCACCCGCCGGTTCTTTTACTCCGATTTGGCCATGGGGGTGTTCAAAATTAAATTTTGAGCGAATAAATTTTTTTTACCTCTTTTGGCGGTTGGAAGTGGCTTCGGTGTAACGGCGAGCGATGGTTGGCTCCCTTCCTAGCGATTGGCTCTTCTTCTCTGACGGGGGAGACGTCCATCGTATTTGATCTAGACCGTCTGATCGTGTTTAAATAGGAAATAAATTTGAACCGTTCATCGCGATTTGATTTGAGCCGTCGTATTGCGTTTAAATAGGAAGTGGATCTGGACCGTTCATCACATTTAATCATGACCGTCCGATCGCGTCTGATGAGGGAACAGATTCGGAATGTCCACGCATGCGGGAACAAATCTGGATCGTCTGATAGTGGGCACGCAAATTGCCAACGTCGCCTCCCGTATGGCACTGCATCAGCGTGCTTTGCCACGCGGCGTGCTCTGATTTGTCAGGGTTGCTGACTGGATGCCCTACATTGCACATTTTTCTTAAATTATATTTTGATCCCCTGTTTTCGATTTTTCTTTTAAAAATACCTATAAAACCTAAATTTTTACCTATTTTTTTCAAAATTATTTTTAATTTCATCATTCACCTATTTTTTCCTAATTTTACATTAAATAATAATTTATAAAATTAAAAATTAAATTTTATACATAAATTTTAAATATTAAAAATTAATTTCGGGTATTACAATATTTATCTTAAACACTTAATTAATTAGGATTCTATTTCATTTTTTAATTTATTTTCTTGAACTAAGTACCTTGTATATATATTTTTTTGTTTAATGAAGTTAATCTTTAATTTTTTAAATAGTTCTACTAATTGGATAGGTTACTTGAAGTACGAAAATCCGATACATTGGAAAAAAAATAAAACTACATATGATAAAACATGTGCCAACAATGTATTAGTATACATGGTGCCAATATGTTGTAGAACATAATACCAATGGTAATTACAAATAGATGTGATAGGGGGCATAACTAAGCCAGATCATTACCTATAATATGGACAACTAAGTAACTAGTCTTTAACATTAGTCAATCTTGTCTTAAAAACCTAGTCATTATGATTAAATATTTTTATCTTATATTTGTAATGCCAAAGTTATTATAATGACTAGTAATATTATACATTATCAGGTCGATTATATAAAAATAATTAAGATAAGAGTTAATCACTTTTTCTTTACTGATTTCAGCATTAGAGCATCATCTCTAAAATAAAATATAAGTGTCATATTTTTTTTGCTGATAAGTTATAGGTAGCAAGACAAAATTGCCTCTTAATAGTAAACTTTTCTTGTCATGTTATATGTCATCTTTTTCTTTCTCATATTTACTATAAACAACTTACCTGTTGATAGTAAATTATCTTAATAATATGTTTGGTTTTTTATAGCCACAATTATAATATATATAATTTAATGTGCAAGTAATTATTTTAATCTCTAAATTTTGGTCCTTTTTTTTTAGTAATACATTTTTTTTCATTACAAAATAGTCCCCTGAGTTTTCTATTATTTTTTAAAGCACTAATTTTGTTAGGTCTTATTTGACTTCATTCTTTTTCTTCTTTATCTATCTTTCCTTATTTTTTCTGCTCTTTCCCCTTTCTCTTTCTTTAAGAGGAAAAAAAAGAAGAACGTAGAGTCTTGTTTGGATTCTCGTTTTCCTTATTCCCCCCTCCTCTATCTCTGTAAATAAGAAAAAAAAAAACTCAAATAGATCATTTTTTTTAAAAAGATATTGTCTATTCCACTTTTTCTTTATATTAAATGTGAAAATTCAAATATAGGATAAAGAGAGAAAGACATGGCAAAAAGAAAGATAAAAGAAGTAAAATGATGGATTACTTATGGGACAAATCTAATTTTTCTTTTTTAAAAGTAACTGCACTAAACGCATTGTAGTACACCTTCGTAACTGCACTAAACGCATTGTAGTACACCTTCGTAACTGAACCTAAATCACTATAATCAAATAAAAAAGCTACATCAACCAATGTCAGAGGCATCACAAATCAACATTATCTCTCTTTCTCAAGTTCTCTTTCTTCCTTTACAATCCTCTATGTATCTCATAAAACACCTTTGGTTCGTTTTAAAATTCATCTCTTCAAGCGATAAAAAGCTCTCTATAGTCCAAAAGAAACAAAAACCTAGATGGTATTCCTCTTAGTGTTTCTTCTGATTTTAGTATGTAAAAAATGAAAGATGGTCTGTTGGGTTTCTAAAAACTACTCATTATATTTTCCACAAAATCCCATATGCTCTTAGTCTCTATCTTCTATTTTTTACACGTTCTCTCAACTTTTGTCTTTTTGGCTCCACTTTTAGTTTATAGGTAAAATCGAGATCCTTCAAACTCTACTCACCTTTTTACTTTTCTACCGGACCTTTATGCTACAAAACCTCAAGCTAATCGCATGTTATCCATATTAGAAATACGAAGTTCATGAAAAAGTTTATCGCTACTTGTCCAAAAAGAATCAAATAAATATTGTGTTATGAGTTTTAACATTATTGTTAAAACAATATTTCACTTTAAATACTTTTACTTAAAAGTTATTTAGTATTAGTAGAAATGATGATAAAAAGTATTGTTATGTTACAAAAGCAGAAACTATGTGTTTAATAAAAATGATATTTAAAATTTTTAAACATAAATTTTAATTTAAAAATAAAGTTGTTTTCTAAAAAATAAAAATTATAACATTTATTTTTAAATATATTACAAATAAATTTGGGTTTTGACTACCGTAAAAAATACATTTTATAAAACACAATATACATTTTATTTTTTATAATATATTTGAATTTAATATAAAATAAAATAATTGAATATTTATGTATTAATTCCTAAAAATAAAAACTAGTAAAAAAAATTAATAAAATAATTATTTCGAATACAAATTAAAAGTTGACTTCCTAAAAAATTTAATTTAATTTAATTTCTTCCATCTCAGCTAGTCTAAATCAAAATATAAACATTGTTGAAATATCAAACAATTAACATTATTAAAAAAAAAAAAGTATTCTTGGCTTAAAGGCGTCATCGTTGGCTTTACCATATGTGCCTTGGTTTTCTAAAAATTACTTTAATATTTTACCTTAAAAATTCAAACATTTAGCTTCAGATGTTTCCAATTGCCAACATTCATAGGACCCCAATAATTTAATGCACATGCACTTGTACATTTATTTTATTTTGCTACCCATAATTTCTAATTACATATTAAAAAAATAATTTTTAGTGGGTAATGTGATTTTTTAGAACATTATTTATGCTTCATATGTTGATAATCTAGTTTTGTGTTCTAGTAATTATTAAAATCATTGTTTGGGAAAATTAGAAAAAAAAAATGGTACTCTTAATTTTACAACATTAGAAATATATATTTTAAAAGGTAAAAAATATTTTTATTGCTAACAATGGGCAAGAGCGCGGTCCAGCCAATCACTCCAAAAAAAGAGAAATAATTAAATATAAAATAATTAAAATAAATTTGAAATCAGATGCTGCACGCTTCATGATCTAACGGTCATATTTCACTAGCCGTTGGTTTTGAAAATTGGGAGCCCCCCTGACTCGACCCTCCCCTATCTAACCTTTTTTTTTTTCTTTGGGGGTTCTCTCTTTCTCACATGACAAATACCCGTTACTCGTCTCTTTCTTCTTCTGAATGCTCTCTTCCTTTAGGGATTCTTCACTTTCAGGGTAGTGGGTCTTTTCTCCAGGACGAAGGAGGGTTCAGTGTTCTTTGATTCAATCAACGACAATGGTGATTTCTGATGAGAACATCCCCACCGTACCTACTACTTTCCAAGGTAAATTAAATTGAATCGCACCGATTCTCTGCTTAAGCGTATCTGCGGTTTCAGGATTGAACCAATCGGATCTAACATGGTTTTCCTTTTGGTTCCTTGTTTGATCTTTTGAACGAAAGGTATGGAAGAATCGGGTATCGGGAAGATTGGACAAGAAATTAGGCAAACCAGGAGAGCATTGCGAGCTATTAATCAGAACTTAGTTGGTCCTCAAGCGTACCCTTGTATTGTTAATAAGAGAGGCTTGTCGGAGTAAACATTTCTTTTGCGATCTTCCTTGAAAGCTCTGGTTTTTGTCGGTTTAATTGATGTCTTGCTAATTCTTGAAACTAATCTGTGTTTCTTTTCACTGCAGGCGACACGAAGCCTATGAAAAGATCTTAGCTAATCCAGTTCATCGATCAATTACGAGGTTAGCTAGGGTTTTGATCATTTAGGTTTCGCGTGCTTTTTCTTTATTTGGAATTTTGGTTTATGAGAAGGTCTGAGGAGATGGGGAAAGAATTTCTCTAAAAAAAAGAAGCAAAACAAAAAAGAGACAGGACAAAGAAGGGATTTTTCCAATTTCAATCCTGGATCTCACCCTGCTTAAAAATGACCCTTCACTCAATCGGCTGAGATGTTAAAGATCCATCTAAAATCTGCTTTTCTAAGTCAATATTTTTTATTAATTTTATCATGTTCTTGCTGTTTAGGAGGTTTGCTTCCCAAATATCCAGCACTAATCAACAGCAACTATGCCCGGAGGAGGTAGACTAGTAGTTCTTTCTTCTTTTTGTATTTTCTTTTTCTAATTATGGTACTAATAGTATATATATTGTTTGTCTTGATTTATGTAATTGGATATCTGGTTAGCAGGAGACAAAGAAGTTAAAGCCATCAGTTCCAAGCACGATTGTGGAAGAGCAAAAGGCACAAGCACTAGACCACCCAATACCAATGGCATTAGAAGAAATAGATGCAGAGCTAAATGAAACTAATTCCATAGTACTTACTATTCTTTTGAATCCTTCTAAAATTCTCCTATGTGTTGATTTTTAGGCAAAGACAATGTTTAAATTACAATTATCTTCCGGTTTGGATAGGAGGAGGTTGAAATGGAGGATATAATTGAAGAAGAGGAGCCCATTATGGATATTGATAGCTGTGATGCAAACAATCCGCTGGCAGTTGTTGAATATGTGGATGATTTATACATCTATTATCGGAAAATGGAGGTAAATTAAGCTTGATTTTATGTGGCGGTGGTTCTGAAAGTTTAGGCATTAAATTACTATGCCCCCCAACTTTATGCATTTGTTAAAGTTTTCTACCTACTCATATTTATATTTGTATTGATTTAGAATATACACACATATATGTACAAGTGTAGGGTATACTCTATTTACAATTTTTTACAGAAGATCACACAGATATAAGAGACTTGATTACACAACTTTAACCTCTTTACTCATATTTGTATTTCTACCTACTCATGTTAATTTGCCTGCAAACCTGTTTTGCAGAGCTGCAGCTGTGTTTCACCCGACTATATGGCACAACAGATGGATATTAACGAGAGAATGAGGGCTATACTAATTGACTGGCTTATTGAGGTACATGAATTATTTCCTGCTGAACAAAACCAATTGCCTTAAATGGTGTACAATAATTTGTTCACAAAATCCTTCAGATTAATCATCTACAGCATCATTATAAATCTAATAGACCATTAACTTGGTTGTGCAAATGAACAGGTGCATTACAAGTTTGACCTCATGAGGGAGACACTGTTTCTTACAGTAAATCTCATAGACAGATTCTTATCACAGCAAGCAGTTGTTAGAAAGAAACTTCAATTAGTTGGTTTGGTTGCCATGCTTTTAGCCTGCAAGTATGAGGAGGTTTCTGTACCTGTTGTTGAGGATTTGGTCCTCATATCAGATAAAGCCTACACTAGGAATGAAGTCCTTGAAATGGTATAGATGCTTCCTTCCAATTTTTCTAGGTTCCTGTTAAAAAAATGTCTACTCCTTATGGGAAATAGTTGAAAATTTCATCTTCTTAATTTGCAGGAGAAATTGATGCTTAACACATTGCAGTTTAACATGTCATATCCAACTCCATATGTTTTCATAAAGAGGTTTCTCAAGGCTGCTCAATCCAACAAGAAGGTATTTATATTAGATGATTATTCACAGTAAAATAGTATAGCCAGACTTTTGGGTCTTGGAAGGTATAGCTAGTGTTATTTTTCTACATATATGAGACTGAGAATGATTGTGATCTTGAACAGCGGGAGATGATGTCCTTCTTCTTGATCGAGCTAGCACTTTTAGAATATGAGATGCTCAAGTTTCCACCATCATTATTAGCAGCAGCAGCTGTTTATACAGCTCAATGTAGTATTAATGGGATCAGGGAGTGGAGTAGAACATGTGAATGGCACAGTCTTTACTCAGAAGATCAGCTCTTGTGAGTCTCATACTTTGACAAAATCTAATCATGGGCATGACATGGAAAAAAGTGCACTACTAATGATTACTGATTTGATTTGATTGCAGAGAATGCTCAAGACTAATGGTGGGTTATCACCAAAAGGCAGGGACAGGAAAACTCACTGGAGTACACA